ATATTCAGGGCTAAAAATATCTAACAGATATGCATCAGTAAGAATATTCTGGCTGTTGAAATATTAACGTTATTTCGACTAGTATATACTTGTTCCCCAGGTAGCTGAGCATTATCCACTTCCTGCATCTTTCCTTTCCATGGGCCCTAAGGATCCAGGAGGTAAAGTGCTAAGGCCTGTCCTTAGAACCCCAGGATCCAAATCCTTGTTTAGGAATTGTATCTTTCTTTCAAACGATCCTCTTACTTCTAAGATGCTGGTTAGAGTAAAAGACCAACTGAAGCCAAAGTCAAATGACTTGAAGACTGTGAGTGAAGTTCATGTTTTTAGAAGCTTTTCTTTTTTCCTTCTACTGTCTGACGAAGTGGATCTTAGCAAAAACTTATTTGTACCAAAATCATACCATAAAACCACTAAGAGTGAACCCAGGTGGCAGATCCTCTCCATTAGAAATCATGAAGGCAGGTATCCAAGGAAAGAGGGGAAAAGTCCAACTGTTGGCCAAGTTGTAATACAGATCAAACATCCCCCATCCAAAAACAGCATCTCACATGCACCAAAATCCAACGTTATCTGAGCTCCAACATGACATTGTAAGTGGAAAGTCCACACTGGCCTCAGGGAATGACTGGCCAATCTAAACAGGCGCAGTAAAATGTACAAGATAATCTTCCCACTATGTGGGTTATTAAGTCCATATCAAACACACATGAATTTCCTGTTTTAGACTTGGGCTCAAGCTTTTAGGTATCTCATTATGCATAGGCAAATATAGCAGAAACCTGAAAACATTTGACCCAAACATTTTGGACAGAAATGCTCAAGCCATAGTACCTTCTTAGCACATCATCCTGGTCCTGTTTGACCGCGTATTTCACAAGGACTAGCATTGCAACACTCCGGAGGGCATGTGAGGGTGAGAAGCCATGATCAGCTCATCGGATGCTGGGTAGGGTGTTTATGCTGGTTACCAAGCCTGTTCAAATGGGTAGAAATCTTGATAAAAGTTAGCTTGTTTAGCAAGGAAATCAATTTTCACAATGTATTAGCTGACTTGTGCTGAAAAGACTGGCATTAGGCTTCCTTCAGGCATAGTTGAACTGAGGGCTCAGTTGGTATTCTCAAGACACTGCACCAGGACATCTCTGGGCTCTGCCTTCCTTGCTGTGGACTTTAGTCTTGGCTGCATGAAATATCAAGATGGTGGCCAGAGCAGCAACTCCATCATCAACAGTCATCCCAGGTTTCAGGCCCAGTGGGTAAGAATAGGAGTCAGCCTCCAAAAACATCCAAAGAAAAACCTGCTTATTTCCCATTGGCTATGATCGGGTCACATTACCACTCTCTACCAATCAGAGAAAAATACAATTGACTGATGGATACAGGCTTGTATCCTGGACCACATAAAAATCACAGAAACCACAGCCCCTTAAGAGTGAGAAGGACTAGCTTTAAAGAAGAAAATCAGAACACATTGACTAGACAGTGAACTAATACCAGGGCAGTAAAATCAACAGATGTCCACTACAGTGGGGCTATTGGCTTTAGTTCTACTACTACTGGGGCAAAGCAGCTAAGAATAAATTCAGCAAATCACATACTTGCACTGAAGAGAAGAGGCACATGACTGTAAGGAGCTCAGCCTCTTTTCTCTGAATAGAGAAAACATAGTTCATACTATCAAAGACAGATGCTTGTTTATTCTGTACTGAGCCCTCTTAGCCAAGAGAATTCCAAACATCCTTTCTTCTGTAGTTTGATGGTGGCTTTACAACTCTTATAAAGAGAAACTGGTGAAGGGGATTTAAAATGGAGTCAGAACTATGTCTGGAGGAGAGTTAAAGCTGCATTACTTCACAGTTCTGGAATTCATAGCAACACAAAGTCATCTTATTGGCTCTAAGAGGTGCATCTTTTTAATCTATGAAACAACTTTATATGGATGAAATTGACATCTTAAGAGATTCCTCCACCCCACTTCCTGCCCCAAGACTGAACTATGAAATAATTCCTGTTATTTTTAATATATACTATTCTCTTGGATTTTTTTTTTTGTCTGTCGTGGGTCTTGAACTCTGGGCCTGAACGCTGTTCCTCAGCTCTTCAGCTCAAGGCTAGTGCTCTATCACTTGAGCCATAGCTCCACTTCCAGTTTTCTGGTGGCTTATTGGAGATCAGAGTTTCACGGACTTTTTTTTGGCCGGGGGGGGGGGGTGTCCAGTCATGGGGCCTGAACTCTGGGCCTGGGCGCTGTCCCTCAGCTTTTCAGCTCAAGGCTAGATCTCTACCACTTTAGCCACAGTGCCACTTCTGGCTTTTTTCTTTTTTGCTTATGTGGATTACAGGTGTGAGCCATGGGCGCCGGGCTTTTCTGTTGGATCTTGGGAGGCAAAACATTACATGCAACATTTTTTTTTGCTGTGTGATAGGACTTTTTGCTCTCATTTTTCATGTCCTTTGGTATATTATGAAGTCACACCCTTTTTAGAAAGGCAAATTCCGAAGCAGTTACTATTGTTTTCTTATAACACATTAATTTGAGATAACTGGTCTGAGGAGTTGTGTACCCAAATTGCCCATGACAATGCTATTGGCATGGATTTTAGTAGTAGTACAAATTTTGGGAACTGGTCTCTGATGATAAACATTTGAAGTTTGTTTTTTTTAAGTTATTATTTTAATAGAGTCTTGGTGTTTTTTGCCTGGGGTCAACCTAGGATCACCATGTTCCTATTTATGTTTTGTGTACATATGCAGACATGCACCACTACACCAGGCTTGTTTGTTGAGATGATGGTCTTGCTAACTTTTTTCTGGGTTGACCTTGAACCATAGTTTTCCTGATCTCTGCTACCTGGAATTACGGGCGTGAACTACCACACCTAGCTGGAGATAGTTTCTGGAAAATATTTGTTCTCAACCTAGCTGAAATCAGTTCTTTGTAAGCTGTTACTAATGCTAATTTAATGAAACTAATCTCTCTGAACTGAAAAAGCATCTATCTTTACTGAACTTGAGAGAATGGTGGATTCTGATTCAGATGAGATTTTAGCTAGGAAATGGCAACGTAGAATGAATTTGAATGTTTTTATAGTACATATAATACATATTCTATGGTACGCACAATCTCTGTTCCACTGTGATTACAGAGAAGTTCTGGCTCTCATACATGGAATCCATGTTTCAACTCTTTATCATGGTCTAAGTATTCTCTGTCAGATGAAATTCTTAGAACGAATGATGGACACAAGTATGGCAGGCTAGGAAGGTGGTAAACACCTTTAAGAGATCTTCAAGATCTCACAGGAGTGGCCCACAACAGGCACTCAAAAAATAGTTAATCAGAACAGAATGCCAGTGGCTCATGCCTGTAATCCTAGCTACTCAGGAGGCTGAGATCTGAGGCTCATATTAATCTACTTCTCTCACTTCTAGCAGCATCAAGATATTCACCTTAGAGACATCAAAATATTTAGTGTGGCAATTATTTTAAAAACTGCCAATGGGAATATACATGAGTACAACCTTTACAAAGAATAGCATGGAGGTTCCTGAATAAACTAAAAATAGACCCATTATATAGATACCCAACATTGTGTCTCTATCTAAAACAAGTGAAATCAACACATTAGCCAGATATCTACACAGCTATGTTTATCACAGCCCTATTCACAATAGTTAAGACCTGGAGTCAGTGTTGGAGCCCATCAAAGAATAAATGAATAAATAAATGTGGTACATATACACACATGATGGAATATTATTCACTCAGAAAGAATATAAAATACTGCCATTTGTGACAAAGTAGACAAAATCTGGATAATGTGTTAAGTAAAATAAACCATAGAAAGACAAGTACTATATATTCTCTTTCATATGTGGAAAATATAAACATCAACTCAGATGTAGAATAGTGATTAATAGAAATTTAGAAGAGGTGGGGAAGGAGGGTGATGGATTCGAAGTTGTATGCTTGTGCTGAGATATCACATGGAGCAACAATAATACCATAAACACACATTAATAAAAAACGTTAAGAGAGAATGTTACACTAGGGGAATATTATTCAGAGAGAATATGTGTAGCTTTTTTACCAGTAGCTGACCCTATGTATTAAAAATGTACATAAAGCCGGATGCTGGTGACTCACGCCTGTAATCCTAGCTACTCAGGAGGCTCAGATCTGAGGATTGCAGTTCAAAGCCAATCCGGGCAGGAAAGTCAGTGCGACTCTTATCTCCAATAAAACCTCCAGAAAACTGGAAGTGGCGCTGTGGCTCAAGTGGTAGAGCATTATCCTTGAGCTGAAGAGCTGAAGGACAGCGCCGAGGCCCAGAGTTCAAACCCCACAACAGACAAAAATAAAACAACAACATAAAATCAGCTCCCTGAATTATGAAAAATAAGATACAATGTTGATTCTTCCACAATATTGGCAGAATTTCTATAATCTGGAGGGACCTATCACCATTTTGTCTAAGTTGTTAGTTCCCTAAATGTATCCATCTTAGAGGATCCCTGAGTTATACCATTCCAATGGTGACATGTGTAGATATTGGACACCCTAGAAATGTGTCATCTGACACCCCCATGTTTTGTTTTGTTTTTATTTTTGTTTTTTTCTTTGTCGGTCATAGGGCTTGAACTCTGGGACTGGGCACTGTCCCTCAGCTCTTCAGCTCAAGGCAAGCATTGAGCTACAGCACCACTTCTGGTTTTCTGGTGGTTTATTGGAGATAAGAGTCTCACAGATGTTCCTGCCCAGGCTGGCTTTGAACCACGATCCTCAGATCTCAGCCTCCTGAGTAGCTAGGATTACTGGCATGAGCTACCAGCACCCAGACAAATTGTTGAACTTGTTGTTTGTTCCAAACCCTCAGTTCCCAATTTCTCAGATTTTGACTCCTCCCTACTTTGTAAGTTTACAAAAACATGTTACAACAATTTAACGCTTTATTTTTACTTTCTCTGCTTTGCTGATTGCTGGGGTTGGAACTCAGGAAGAAGAATCCCAGGAAGAGCCTACGTGCCCTGTGGTGGAGCAGACAGCGACATCAGGTAGAGTGCCTCAAGTATGGCTTTTTTGCTGAGCTGCTGTTGCCAAAAGCAGGATTCAGAGCATCCAAGAGCACTGCAGATTGCAAAGGAAAATCTGTATGTCACAAGTGATTGGAAACATCACTAGGAATGTCAGTGAGTGATGGGTTCCAGACTCCACATCTGGGTGGTGTGGTCACAATGCAGAACACAGCTTTTCCTTTTCTTTTGTCTTTGCTTTATTGATGACAGTCCAGGAACCAACACTGGTGAAGTAGATGGTGGTGATGATGATGAAAATATGTTAGCTTCAGTAATGCAAAAATATGGCATGTGACGGTTATTTACTAAAGGACTCAGGATTCGCTGGGAAAGATGAGGTCAGTTTGTTGGTTTGGCATGTTAGTATCTAGTCAAACTTGCAGCTTTGTTAAGAGCTATTTATGCCGTACTGTACTCATGTGGAAAGGCACACATTAGAGTGTTAGGTTTTAAATAAGAAGAGGTGGTTGCCAAGTAAGAACCACACCATGCACGTGGTATTCAGGTAAGGGGTAGGTTTATTCATAGTTCTGGCTGGCACTAGGCCAGGTTAGCACTCCACGTGTCTGGGAAAGGCCTGGGAAAAGGAGCATCTGGCCCTGGGCTAGGCCTTATTAGGGTGGGGGAGGGGGTGAGGAAAGGTGTGGCCACATCTAATCCAGGTGTGACCTCAGTGGATGCGGATATGACCTCTTCCCGGTGTGCCAGTTGCCTAGGTAACTGCAGGTACTGGGCGGAGACTTTGCTAGAGGAGGGTGGAGTCTGCTTGCCATCCAGGAGTGGACCTTACATAGAGGATTTAGAACTCAGTGTATGACTAAGGTCTGGAGGATAGGAGAAGTAACAGTTGATATAAGAATAAACATAGCTGAATGGGCTTACCAGTAATGAAAACTAAATCTTAATACTCTTGTGATCTATTTTACAACTGCTTTGAAATTTTTTTTAATATGAGTTAGTATTAGATGATGGCTCCAAATGAGTTTGCTGCTGAGAGAAGCTCATGTTCTTAGAATTTAATGGAAATCAGGGAGCAGGGATAAGAAATTAGATGTGATCATGGGAAGGATTATGTGAAGTCTGGGGCAAAGGCCACCCCCCCCCCTGCACTGATATAGATGCAATTAAGCAAAGCCACCATTTTCCTGTACACCCATTTTCCCCTTACCAGGCTGCCTGTACTCCCACCAAGACTAAGCTTGCTTTAGTTTAATGCTTTCTTTGTCACTGCGATCTCCTTGTAGAGCTTTGGGTGTGAGGAGCATCACTTTCAGATAAAAGATACAGGGCTTCTCACGCTTTGTAAAATTTGCTTGAGCACTCTGATTTTGGAGTGTTTCCTCCATTTATCTCCTCTTCCTCTTCTTCTTTCTCTTCCTCCTCCTTCTCCTATCTCCCTCTCTTCCTCTTATTCTTTTACTTTTTGTAGCACTGGGGATTGAACTAAGGGTCTCACTTGTAGTCACACTTGCCCTAGACCTCACTCACTTTTGCCATGTCTTCAGTCCTTTTTTCTTTTTCCTTTCCAGAGAAGATTTCTCACTTAGTCGGGCAATGGTGGCTCATGCCTGTAATCTTATCCACTCAGGAGGCTGAGATCTGTGGATTGAAGTTTGAAGCCAGCCCAGGCAGAAAAGTCCCCATGAGACTTTTATCTTCAATTAACTACTCAAGAACTGGTAGTGGCACTGTGACTCAAAGTGGTAGAGCAGCACTAGCTGTGAGCAAAAGAGCTCAGGGCCCAGGCTCTGAATTCAAGGCCTAGGATTTACCTACTCTGCCCCTCCTCCAAACCCCAGAACTCTTTCTTTTTCCCAGGCTGGTCTTGCACTATGATCTTCTTGTCTCTGTCTCCTGTATAACTTGGATTACAGATGTGAACTACCAAACTAGGCTGATTCCCACTTCTTTTTCCAGGATTTCTTCCCCAATGGGTATCTTTCTATTATTTCCTTTGTGTACTCATACCTTTAGTTTTAGTTCATTTGAGTCAGATGCTTGATATTTATGAATCATTCCTTGAAATCTTGTTAGGTTAATCTTCTAGATTGTTTGAAAAGAATGTCTGTTCTTTTCGTATATTTTCATATATGAACACTGATTGAATGTCTACTATGTGCTAGATACCATAGTAGGAATTATGTTGGATTAAGAGTGTTAAAAACATCCAGGCACTGGTGGCTCCTGCCTGTGATTCTAGTTACTCAGGAGGCTGAGATCTGAGGATTGCTGTTCAAAGGCAGTTTATTCAGGAAAAGTCTGTGAAACTCTTATCTCCAATTAACCACCAACAAGTTGGAAGTGTTGCTTAAGTAGTTGAGTGCTAGCCTTGAGCAAAACAAGCCCAGGATGGGGTTGGGAAGGTGGATCAGTGGTAGAGCGCTTGCCTTGCATGCCTGAGGCCCTGGGTTCGATTCCTCAGCACCACATAAGCAAAAAGAAAAAAGCTGGAAGTGGCGTTGTGGCTCAAGTGGTAGAGTGCTAGACTGTAGCTGAAGAGCTAAGGGACAGCACCCCACGACCTGACCAAAGGGAAAAAAAAAGCTCAGGAACAGTACCCAGACTCTAACAAACCCAAGGAATGCCACCCAAAACAAAGACCTTTTATTGAAAAATGCCATTTAAAAGTGTGCTGGATTCTTTAGATAGAATATTTATGTCATCACAATAAAGAAAACAGTTACAAAATGGAACCTGGGCTATGTTTATAATTTTGTACAGAAAAAGGAAGAATAAAGTCAGGACCCATGAAAAATGGTGTCATATTGGGTGGCAGCCTTGTGGAGCTAAGTCTCTAAATCTTCCTTGGATATGGCCAGGAAGTTGTATTAATTAGAGAGAATAAAGCAAAGATGCTTTGCTAATAGTGGCCTAGCAACAGGAACTGGGTATTGGTAAGAAGGCACAGTTTGAAGCCTTCCAGCATGGAGGACAAGCCAGTTTTTGGAAGGAGCTGAGGACAAGGTCATACACTCTCTCCCTTGGGCATCAGCCTCTCTTCTCGTGAGTTGCTATTCTGGAAGCAACTTTTCTGTATTAGTTAGAATTTTCCAGAGAAACAGAAGCATTGGAATGTAGGCTTCATAAGAGATGAATGATGAATGATGTGCTCATGTGATGTTGAAGGCTGAAAAGTCTCAAGACTTATCTGAAGGCCCTGGGAAACTAGTAGTAACTCTAGTTCAAGTTCAAAGATCTGAAAACCAGAGGAACCACTGTTATTGTGAGTCTCAGTCTACCAGCAGTGGAAGACTGAGGTCCTGGATCCTGCAGTCTGGCAGGAAACAAAAAGAGCAAGTCCCTCCTTCCTCTGCCTCTGCTCATGATAGCTGGAGATGATTCTACCCTGAATCCTTGGCCTGCATATTACTGTATATTATGGCATTTCCAGCCCCTGAGCCAAATCAAACAGGACTAAACATTAGTTCAGTAAATAACACTGTACCATTGCGGTATTTCTAATAGGCCTCAGACTTTAGTGAGGCTTGATCAAAAAAAAAAAAAAGCAGTAAAACTCTTTCCCAGATCAAAACTGCAAGTTATAACCATCATTCAGGAAAGTGTTATGTCCTTGAAGCTATTCTGGGTCTCAGCAGATGCCTCCTATTTTATATTTTATTATTATTATTATTTGTTGGTACTGGGGTTAGAACTCATGATTTTGTGCTCACTAGGCTAGCTTTTTTGGCTGACACTCTACCACTTGAGCCACATCTCCTGCCCTGAGAGAATTCTGTGAAACATTTTTGTTTTCTTATCTTTAAGTAATTGTACAAAGGAGTTGTCATTCATCAAATCAGTTTATGAATACAGTGCATATTGGCCAGTGTCACCCCTTTCAACATTTTCACCCATCCCTCCCAACCCACCCCTTCCCTTACTTTTCTTAATTTTAGGTTATGTGTTGAAGTTTTTGCAACTTAACAAAGTAGTTTGTGTGTACAATGCATCTTGATCTGTGTCACTACTTCAACACCATTGCTCCCCTTTGACCTACCCCTGCCCTTCTATTTCTCAATTCTGTGCATTCTCCTCTCTTCCCCCTTCATTTTTCCACCCTTTTCCCCTTGACCTCACGCTCCCTTCTGGCAAGTACCTATTTTCTGATGCTTATTTTGTTGGGCTTTGACTTAGTCCTTTTAAAGAATTAAACTATTTATGCTCTCCATAGAGTCTATTACACATCAGTTAATTCATTTGTAACCCTTGCTTACCACCCAATGTCTTTACTTGTGAAATTATAGGTGCATTCTAGCTATCACAAATGAGGGAAACCATGCAACCTATGTTTCTGACCTATCTCTTCAATGAGCATCAATGCAAAACTTCTCAATAAAATTCTGGCCAACTGAGTCAACAGTTAACAACAAAAAAAAGTAAATAACTATCCCTCCCCCCACACCCATCCAAATACACTCTGATCAAGTAGGATTCATCCCAGGAATGCACACCCGAGAGAATTCTTTTTGCAAATAAATTACACCTTTTCCAAAGCAACAGCAACAAAAAGTGAAACATGTTGCCTCTATTTCCTTATTCCTCTTTCCTATGCATTGGTTTATAAACAGGGCTACTAGTGTTGAGGATAGTGGTACACAACTATAATCCCAGCTTTTGAGAGGCTGGGGCAGGATGAGCATGAGTTCAAGGCTGGCCTAAGCTATCTAGCAAGACCCTGTCGAGAGAAAGAAAGAGAGAGAGAGAGAAGGAAGGAAGGAAGGAAGGAAGGAAGGAAGGAAGGAAGGAAGGAAGGAAGGAAGGAAAGAAAGAAAGAAAGAAAGGAAGGAAGGAAGAAAGAAAGAAGGGGGGAAAAAGAAAATGACCAAAATGAACCAGGTCAAGTATATTTGCTGAACAGCTTTTAAGCATGTTTAAAATTCAAGGACAGTTTGCAGAATCTCTATTATCTGTTAGATTGCACTCAATTTGTGCTACCAAGGTCTCAAAGATTCCAACACCTAGTCTTACAAAGGCCATCC